CTCCTCCTCCTCCTCCTCCTCCTCTGCTACCGTCGTGGAAGAGCTCTAAGAGTCCTCGGGGCTTGGCAGTTCCCTTCCCCCTTCCCCCTTCCCCCTTCCCGGAGGTCCAGGGACTGCCCAGTCTTCGCCGATCATTCAGGCCAAGCCTCCAGATCAGAGGGTCATCTGCCAGCGCTCACCCGTCTGAGGACTCTCGTCCCGTGGTCGGTGAGCCCTGGCGCGCTCCTGCGTTCAAGCTTCCGAAGCCGCCTGCCTTGCGGGGACACTCGGCGCCCTCTGCGAGCCTGGCACCAAGCACTTCCTCGAAACTGATGCAGCGCACGCGAGTCATGGGTGGAGGGTGGGAAGCCAGCACACTGCGAGCGAAGGCATCGCTGGCGATCCTCCCCCCTCACCCTCGAGACGTCGGCACCTCCACGGGCCTGGCTCTTGGCTGCTCCAGAGAAGCGAGAGCTGGCAGCGGCAAGGGCACCGTCTTCTTCCCGTGGGGCCCACCACGGGGGCCCACTACGGATGCCCTTCGCAGCCGCGCCGTTGTGATTTGCGTAGACGGCGGGATCAACTGCGTACCGGGCAGCACAAGCCATTGCGAGCAGCTCCGCCGGAGGGATCGACTGGTCCTCGTCCTTCCTTTCTCTCCCTACACAACCCCCCGTAGCGCCTCCGGGGATCCCCCGAAGCCCTTGAGAACCGTCTTGGAACCGCGCAACGACTTCCCTCAATCCTCTCCCGCGCCTTCTCCTCCGCTCACTCCTCCTCCTCCTCCTCCTCCTCCTCCTCCTCCTCCTCCTCCTCCTCCCTCTCTCTGCTCTGATGTAGTTCACCTTGCTGCACGTCCGTGATGAACGAACATTTGAAAGCCAGCATATCCCAACAGTAGAGTATGACCAACTTCATATTGCAACCAGCAAGCCATCACAACTCAACAATAGAGTATGTCCTCCTCCTCCTCCTCCTCCTCCTCCAGTTCTCCTTCTCATCCTGCCCACACCCCGTTGATGAGGAAGAGGATGGGTAGGAGAAGGCGGGAGGGGTAGGGGGAGGAGAAGGGAGGGGGGTGGGGGAGGGGGCGGGGGAAGATCGGATCGAGCGCGTCCTCTGCGCGTGCGGGGCGTCGGCCACCACCAGTTTCTCGGCCCCGTCCGCTGGAGGAAGGGGGAAGGCGGGCGAGGAGGCTGGAGTTGGACCCTCCCTCCGCCTCCCCGCCCACCTCCTCCCCCCCCCACCCCCGGAGGAGCAGTTCGGGCGGGAGCGCGGGAGGCTGCAGAGTACCGTATCGGCGGCACGCCGCCGCGGGTGGCCCGTCGGCGGCGTTGTGCGCCGCAGCCGGTGCCCCCATCCACGGCGGCGCGCCGTGGGGCTCCCCGCGGCGGCGTGCCGCGGGTGCCGCCTCCGCCCGCCGGGGGGGGGGGAGGCGGGAGGCGGGAGGGGCGGGCGGAGCGGGGGGGGGGCAGCCCCTGCAGGGGCCCGCGCCGCCGCGGGGAGGCGAGGCGGGCGCGCCGGGCGGGGGGCAGCCACAGAGGCGTGCGTCCGCGGAGGAGGCGGGGCCGATGTCGGCCCGCGTTGGCTCGGAGTGGAGGGGAGGCAGGGCCCATCCAGTCTAGTCTGCTCCAGTGCTGCTCCTTCATCTTGGCATCGCTCGGACGTGTGCATTTTCCTTCGGCGAGGACCATCGAGGAGCATCCTTGATCATTTGGCGAAAAAGCCATGCACGAAACTGGAACAAAAACACAGAGAATGGACGTCCGAGCGATGGCGAGTCATCGTAACCATTCTCTCTCTCTCTCTCTCTCTCTCTCTCTCCGTCCTCGATCAGGTCGCATCTGGCCGGTCTATCTTGCGATGTGTGTTTGCGTGGTTTCTGGATCCAGCGTCCATTTTGAATGTGTGATGTTTTGGTGGCCTTCGGCCCACCCCGCAACCGTGCCCAGGTTGTTCGTCGGAGGCCTCTTGGATGCCTGTCGGGATTTCTGTGAGGCCTTTCTGAAGTCTCTTGGAGGCGGTTTCGGGGTGTCTCGGGGCCTCTCCAGGGCCTCTTGGGGGCCTCTTGGGGCCTCTTTTAAGCTTCTTGGGGGCCTCCTGGGGCTTCTCGGGGGCCTGCTGGCGGTCTCGGGGGTCAATTTTTGCGGACGGTCCGAAATGTCTGTTAGACTTCTTTCTCTTGGTGTCCCTTTGGGGCCGTGATGGGGGCCCTCGGGTCGTCTTGGGGCCCTCTTGGGCCATCTTGCGGCCTCTTGGGGGCCTCTTGGGGGCTTCTTGGGGGCCTTTTGGGCCGTCTTGGGGCGATCTTGGGGACCTATGGGGCCGTCTTTGAGCGTCGCAAGCTGGAAAAGGCGAGATTTAGGACAACCAATTATTTTGGCCTCGTGGGACCCTCCTTGGCGATCCTCTCGGAGCACTCTTGGGGCGTATTGGGGACTTGAAGTCTTGAGACCATCTTGGGCGTCTTGGAGAGCTCTCGGACCCTCTCGGGCCCCTCTTTGACTGTCTTGGGAGCCTC